CAACTGAAGCGTGATACCTCCTGCGTTCCGGGAAGATAAATAGTTGTATACCTGCGCCTTAGCAAGGCGATAGAAGTTTAATATTGAAGCAGCGTCCCCGCTTGTTTTTTCGGTTTTCCTGTGCCGCTATTACAGTTTCGACCGTTCAGGCCGTAGTTTAAGGGCGCTAAAGCCAGGGTTGTATTTCGCAAATGGATAGTTTTTGCTGAATAATTAAAAATTAAGAAACAGGAATAATTTAACTAAATAACAAAAGGAACTTAATTCTACAATAAAATGCAACAAACTAACGTAGTTTAAGGGCGCTAAAGCCAGGGTTGTATTTCGCAAATGGATAGTGTTTGCAGTATAATTAAAAATTAAGGAGCAGGAGTAATTTAACTAAATAATAAATGGAACTCAAATCGACAATAATATGCAAACGAATTTGGAATGTCTCGTCATGTAAATACAGAAGATTCGTAAATGCCTTCAATTGAAGCGTGATACCTCATGCGTTCCGGAGAGTTCAAATAGTTGTATCCCTACGCCTTAGCAAGGCGATGGAAGTTTCATATTGAAGTAGCATCCTGGTTTGTTTTTTCGGCTTTCCTGTGCCGCTCCTGCAGTTTCGACCGTTCAGGCCGTAGTTTAAGGGCGCCAAAGCCAGGGTTGTATTGCACAAATGGATAGTTTTTGCAGAATAATTAAAAATTAAGAAGCATGGAGTAATTTAACTAAATAATAAACGGAACTCAAATCTACAGTATAATGCAAAACAATTTGGAAAATCTCGTCATGTAAATACAGAAGATTCGAAAACGCCTTCAACTGAAGCGTTACCTATATCTCACGCGTTCCGGAGAGTTCAAATAGTTGTATCCCTGCGCCTTAGCAATCCGATGGAGGTGTAATATTGAAGTTGCGTCCCCGCTTGGTTTTTCGGCTTTCCTGTGCCGCCAGGGGCGGGGAGGCGATCGCCCCCTAACAATTTGCCGTGGAGGTCCCGAAGGGGCCCCCGCGGCTAATTTTTTTCGAGTCATCGTTTTTTTCCCGTAATGTTTTAATTTCCTTATCCTTTTTAAGCACTAAAAGGCTCCAAATTCTTTGAAAATTTGTCTCTAAGAGTCATGGAAGGTTGCCAAAATTTTTTGTGATAAAGGAACCCCCGATGAATCATGAGAATGGGTTATTTTGAAGTTCAAGTACTGTAGAATTTAACTCCAATAATATCTACGTGTTTAAACAGTGTGAAATTTTCAATATTTACCGGGGGAGGGCCCCCGGACCTTCTTAGAGGGGCCCCCGAACGACAGGTTGGGCCCTTACATTTAGGTCTCCTCCTAACTTTTCGACTACCAGTCCGCTCCTGATTGGATGAAGTCTAAAAATGAAAATGTTTGGCTTCTCTGCCAAAAATTTGTCCTCAAAGAAAAGTGACGAGTCCACCTGAGCAGGTATGGTGACGGCCACTGGCTCAAGTGCAACGATTTCGGTCAGAGGGGGAGCCCACGGTGACTCGTGCTCTGAGTTTCGCACAACGGCACACTCCTATCCGTGCAAAACTCTACGGCGACGGCGCGAGTCCATTATTTGAGTCGGACTCAAGAAACTTGCTTAGGGTCCCTGGTCTTGTGACGCATCACAGTGGATCGAGTCAATTAGAGAGGTCGGACTTGAAATTTTTGACTGAAACTGCAAATTTTGATGTTTATTTCGTCACGTTTTAAATTATAGGGGTGCTAATGGAAGAACATTTTACGAGGAAACCAATGGAACCACTTTTAGAACCTCAAACTTTGTGTAAAGGGAGTTATAAGCGGTTAAAGTTTCCAAATTTTGTCTGCGACCTCTCCTATTAACTCGATCCACTGTGCGCATGTAAAATTACAGGTAGATATCTATACTATAAGCTCCGAGACCTCCTAATTTTGCGAAACTGGTAACGCTTAGTTCCAGCGTTCTACCGGGCCGATTTTCATGATTTTTGCGGCTATCGACGGGCAATTGTCTCTAGATAAGCCAACTCTTTTCAGATTTTCAAAATATGGCCCAGGTTTTTTTATATTACGTGGTAAAGTTGCGAATTCTCCCATTTAAACAATGTTTTATACTTTTTGTCATAGTTCGCTTGAGCGTTCTACCGGGCCGATTTCCATGATTTTTGCGTAAATCGACGGGTAATAGGCCCTAGATGAGCCCGCTGTAATCAGATTTTGGAAAAAGGACCCAGGTTTTTTTAAAATCACGTTATAAAAGTGAGTGAGTTTACAGAATGCTCCGCACTGCTACCGCTATGCGCGGGAGGATGCGCAGTGGTCGAGGTGGTTGCGCAGTAGCTGTGTAGCCTGCGCATCAGCTCTACACTTATCTACACAAGATTCGCGCCAACGTTTTCACGTCGAGCGGTGGCCGAATCGTCGAAGACGTCGAATGCGTCCACTGTAAACTCGGTGTGGGTTCGATTCCCGACTCAAGAAAAACTTGATTATTACCTGACTATCATTGTTCATTGTTTTACTGCAATAATTCATCAAGCAGTCATTCCAAAACGCGTCCTTTTAATTTTAAAGTAATTTTAAGTAAATTTTAAAATTAAAGTATACCTCATATCGTAATTTTTTAGGGGAAAAATAAAACTAACACTGATAGGAGGGTAAAAATAGGGCCGCGAAGCGGCCCATTGATGGCGCGGAGCGCCTTCAGGGGGTTGGGCCACGTAGCGGCCAGGGGACGTACCCCCTAGTAAATGTATACAGTTCAGGAAGAGAGCCAACAGACAGAAGCGGGAGCCGCACGCCGTCGCGTGTCACCAAGAGCACCTATTTTAACTCCCAGGAGATCAAATTGCATATCCAACTTATTGAAGGAGTTTTGAGTGAGTTCGCTGTGCTCTCTCTTATGCGAATGAGCGTAGCGGACTACGGCGCAGCAGTTGGATTAAGCGCGCCCAAGGTGTTGTCGTTAACGCGAGCACCTAATCTCATTACATTTTCATCCACCAGAAGTCATATTTTAAATCCTATAGTGACGTCTAAAGTTGGTTTTTCAGAAATCAAGCATTAAAAGCAAATTTCGTTTTACCTCACCGTAAATTAAATTTGGAGTGCTCAAGCTGCAAGTCTCATTGAGCGATGAATTTTTGGTAGAAGTCGAAAAATACGCACACACTTTGATCATCTTGTTTCGAAATCTTCCCTTTCGGCATAACCCCCCCCCCCTCACCCCTCGAAGAGAACAAACTAACGTCATCGTTCAAAATTCGGAATGTTCTGTATTTTTATAAAAATTGGTAGGCTGTACAAATTTCAAAAAATGTCGATCATCAAGCACTTACTGTATTCAAGGAAATGAAATATCGCAAAATCTGCAAAATCGCAAATTAACACTTCGACTTCTATCATTGGAGTAGAGTGGTTACATATTTGCTATGATCTTTAATGCGTGACCGCGTCCATTTTAACAAGGAACACACTTCTCGGGAGAAACTGTTGCGCAGGTGTGATACTTGTCAAGTTGAATCTTTTTATGCGATTTTTTTGTATCAGGTAACCAGTGGGAGGGGTGGTTTTTGAAATTGATAGACAAAGAAGACGAAGGAAAAATGAAAGCGGTTGGTTGCAATGGACAAACGAGACCAGTAATAGACTAACGAACGGTAACCCACGAGATTGACCCTGTATATACTTAGTCCATAATTTGCCTTTGACAACTACCCGTCTCAACCAATAGAGTCGCTCTGTATTCCCTTTGTTCTCTCTGCCTGTTGATTTGTGAACTTTGTCTATCAGTTTCAACAACTAGCCCTCGGAAGGAATTCAAGAAATTATAATCTAAAATCCTGAAATCCCACCAAATATCTAAATTGATCAGTTACTGTATGTGCCAAAAAAGTGCCGCAGGCTAAAGTACGTTTCATTGCACAGTTTAGGTCTGTGCAATTTTCCATGGGAAATTTGGCAACATTGAAATGTAGATACGTCCTTTTGTGCGTAAAACTGGGACGCGAAGGATTTCAATATTTTCTTGTTGTATGCAAGCTTTAACATGGATATAGTTGCTGTAAACACTATTTAAAAATTCCATTCTCGAGGAGATGAAAGACTCATGAAGCTTTTAAAAATCTTCTAGTTCCCTTCATGTTCTTACTAATTATAGGTTAGTGCATTTTTTTTTCTTTTTTTTTTTTTTTTCTTAGTGATTGCTTATTTGCTTCATTCGTTTTCTTGGATTTAGCTCACATTTTGAAACTTGAGCAGCAGTATGCGGGTATATGATTAACTTCATACACGGTTCGTGTTAATGTCTCTGATGACAACTCGAGTTTTTTTGTTTTTTTGTTTTTTTTTTGTTCAATTTTCTCAATCTTCAGTGGACAACGCTCGTTCCCATGCGGTCTCCAATCTAAATACTAACTACGGCAGACATAGCTTAACTTCGGAGATCGACCTAGCGACTGAACCACTACACTACCTGCACGCGAAAGTCTGAGGGGCGTAATTATGCCATTTCAGGGCCCCCATTGGAGTAATTTTGCCAGCAAATGATGATTTTGTCTTTAAATTTGAATCCGATACTTAATTCTTTTATTATTCTTTTTTAATCAATCAACATGTAAATAAAGTTTTAAAAGTTATGTTTCTTTAAAAAAACAAAAAAAATGGAACGCATTAAAATTAAAAATTATAGCTATGGATGTAAAAAAATAATTAAAGTTGAAATGATACAAAAAATATAAATTAGCAGATACAAAAATTGATAGGAAAGGAGTAAAAACGTTTGAAAAGAATTAAAAATTAATTAGGAAAATTTTAAAAATAATTAAGACGTTAACATTTTAAAAAGAGTTAAAACTGAAAAAAATTAAAAAAGTTTAGAACAATTTTTTTAAAAAACACTCCTAAGTTAAAAAAGTAATAATTTTTAAATAAATACATCTAAATACATATATATTATAGCGGTGATAATATTTTTACCGATCTCATTTTTTTTTTTTGTGTTTTAAGACCAACATACGTGACATTTTAATTTGATTCCACCAGCCGTGAATTTTTGCGGTCACACATATGGGCCTCTGCCACCACTTTAGCCTTCAATATCGAAGATCTCGAAAATGCGCCCCGCTGTTTTAATCTAGAGACCTTCCTTAAAATTTTTATCTAGAACAAAACACTACAGGTCTCCAGAAAAATTAAAACTGTTTAAATAGAACCGTGGATACGTACACACCAACTACACGTGCTGAGCTTTCTCCAGATCTCGATCGTTCCACAGATAACTTAGCGATGTTTTATTAGCCGTAGGATCATAATGAATTCCAATTAAAACTTCTGTTGTTATATTAAAGATATTCCGTTTTTTTAAATCTTGGTCGAATGTTTTGTAATATTGACGATCGAGAATTTGAGTCAATGCTAGCATCGACGATTCCTTTTTATACTTCAGTTCGAGTAATATACCAACATCTCCCGATCGCAGGTTTCTCAAGACGTATAAGCAGTCATATTTTGACGTTGTTAATTCGGACATATCGTGGTTCTCGGATTTACTTTGTTTTTTAGGGACGTTTTTCACCCGACCTCCTTTACTTACATAAAGTATCCCCGACTTGCTTACTATGGATGCGTGACTTTGTAGTACTCCGCACAAAGCACCTTGCATGTCGGCTTCATTCAATGGTTTCGTTTGGTTTAACAGCGCACTAATGGAATTTTTAAATTCGATGAATCGGCTGTTGTCATTTTCTATAATGATTGCACTGCGTGTGTATTTTTCAAGTATATCTTTTGAGATCATGAATTTTTTTAATAAAAATTCTGTTGTATACATTTTGTCAAAAAGTTGCTCTTTAACCTCGAGGTTTGGGATTTTAATGTGAGCATTTTTCCAACCGAAGCGTCGTACAATTGTAAATGCTCCTTCTTCTACAAGCATTTGTAAGATCAAGTTGAAGGTGGGATAACGATCTTCTGTAAAATTTTTACGTTTAATATACTTTTTGAGCAAGAGAAAATCTTCTTTCTCTATTAAGTCTTCGATATTAATGGTAATTACTTTATCCATGTTTGCATCAAGATAGCCGCCCAAGTGCTCATACTCGAAAAGAGAATCAAAATAACGACCGAAAGGGTCCCAGTATGGGATAATTTTTCCTGAATCCAAAAAACTAATCACCGACTCCATGCAAAACATGGATGAGCCTTTTTCTGTTTTGAAGCCATCGTAATAATCTGTAATTGCGTCAATCTTATCTTCGACCGAAAATTTTTGGTAAGATGTATGACTTCTTCCCGTGTAAATCCATAATACGGGGCAATTTTTGGATCATCAAATATTCGGCAAAACTGTAGATTATTGATTCCAATACTACTTGTACTCCCTACTGTGGTGATGCCAGTAAGCAGTGAACGCTCGATAACACCCGCTCTGCTAGGTTTTACTAAACTCTTCAAAAATGTGGTGAGAAACGTAATGATTTTTTCAGCATCATCGTTTGAAATATCAGGATTGAGCGTTGCTTGTGTTATCGGCGCATCGTATTCATCAATGAGTACAATGACCCGTCTTCTGAATCTCCTGTAGAGCAGAAAAGCCAATTCATATCCTGCGACAAATAGTTCCACTTTGGATAGATTTTCTGGGTCTATCGTATACTTTTTATATATTCTCACAAGTTCAGGGTCATTCGCGAATGCCGGCTTAGGAGATACGTAATTACCGCCTTTGAAGAAGTGCCTACTTCCTTGCCTTTTAAATTCTTTTTTGATCACGATCGCAAACTTGTCTAGAAAATCATTGTATGAGGTAAAAGTCATATCGAATACCAAATGAAGAACAGGAAATGCAGCAAAGTACTCTCTGAAGACTTCTTTATCCTGCCCAATGGCAAGTTTTTTAAACACATTCCACTTAGTAAGGTTGCTTCTGTCGGCTGTGTGACCATTCTCGTCCGTTTCTATTTCGACGAACTCTTGAATCATATTCATGTTGACAGTTTTCCCGAATCGCTTGGGTCCATGGAGAACCACATGCTCATTTCCCCGGAAATCGAAAAATGTGCGAATTAAATTTGACTTGTCGACGAAATACCTCGACTCTACCGTATCCATAAAAAATTCGGTGTTCAGGAAACGTGATTCTTTGTGCTCCACGTTGACACCAGCAACCTGCAACAACAGACAAAGATTGGACTAATTTTAAGAATGGATGCGGCATATTCTTCGAGAAACATGATGCAGCCAGGATCACATGCACAGTATTGGACAAATTGCAGGAGTGGAATATAAATGATATTAAACGGTTACTGTGAGGCCTTGTCTCCACGAGCCGTTTCGCGAGATTTGTCCCAGGGAAAAATCCCACTTACGAAGTTGGGAAAAATATTGAGTTAATCAATATTTTTCCCAGTACCAAGTATGGTACTTGTAACCCTAGGACCCACTGAGAGAAGAAGAAGTGAAAACGAATTGTGCGATATTTTATTCATTACATTTTTCATGTTTGTTTGGTTAAAATAATGTGTCTAATTGTCAAGTGAGTGCAATTATTATTTTAATCCCGGTTAAATACTCGACTTTAACTAATTTATCTTCCCGCGCAAACTAGTCGCAGGACTGTATGAGCCCCATCCCGTGGAGACGGTAACTGGGAAAAATCCCAGAAGTTTCATACCTGCGATTCGAACTTGGGAAAAATCCCATGAAAACGTCCCGTGGAGACAAAGGCCTAACGATAGACGCAAGGGAAAGAATTTTTGGGGTGAATCGCTGCCAGAAGGTGCTGAAAATCTTAAATTTCTGTACCTATGCGTTGCCAAGCAGTGCAGAAAATTAAGGCATTGAAACCATTCAAGAATCATAGCATCAGTTGAATGAGATCAAATACAGAACCATACAAGCCCAATAATTTAAGTTGTCATACCTTTTCATAAGCTGAGAGGCGTTGCCAAAGCCAAGTGGTAAAAACAGATTTTAACAATTAAGTTCTAGACTTATTGCCAAGTTACGATCGGAAATCAAAATTAACCCTAGTCTGCCTAAGCCTCTGAACCAACGAGAAAGCCTGAGCGGGGTCAATTTGACCCCAGCTGAAAATCAATTAGTTGGCTATGTTTTTTTCATGTTTTTAGTTAATATCAGTGCACTAACCTTACAGGCCTTAACCATAAAGCATATCTAAGTTTTAAAAAACACGGCGCAGGGTATGCAACCATTTTATCATACACGTGTTGCCATGTTGTTCTCAGCATGAGCAAAAAAAAACGTAGGGCTACTAAATACTGAAAACGAAAAAAATCTGAAACATTTTGCTTGTTTTATAAGTTTCTGAAACAAATTAAAAAGAGAAAAATGAATACACCTTCAAAGAAAGCTTTTGTGATGCTAAATGGTAAAATATATGTTATTAGGATATCTGACCCCGCTCAAGCTTTCTAGGGGTACTCGTGAATTTTTTGATCTCTCATGCACATTTTTTTTTTCCCCCCTTCAAAAACGTGTTCCTAGATGTTTTTGTAGAGCTATTTGTGAAGGACAAAAAATTTCGTGCATACCACGAGAAATGGCAAAGAGTTGAAACTCCCGTGGGGTCAATCCGACCCCACTCAGGCAGACTAGGGTTAACTAATAAAAAGAAAAGCGGAATTGGAATGAAAGGCGCGATGAACGGCTACACCGTGGAATTTACAAAAAAATGTCTCGGGAATGAATAGATAAACGAGGAAATAAATACGTTGGCTTTCATTTGCCGGTAGAGCGGCCCAATTTTGAGTTTGGCGGTGGTAAAATTCCGGTTCTCGTCAGAGATGGCTTATGGGACTTTCTTTTACCACTCAGACTTTTCTTTTTATTTCTCTTTTCATCTTCTTACCTTGTTTTTCTAAAAGTCTTCTTATTGGTAAGACTGTTAAAAATCCCGGCGCGAAATTCATGCTTATTACTCAGTTGCTTTTTTGACCACCTGTTACTCTGAGTGCATGGATTCCGGATCCGGCGCGAATTTCGCGCTCTGGCGGGAGTCAAAATCTGACAGGCAAACGTAAGGAACTGCCGCAGCATGGATTTGAACTCAGGTCGCGGCGGTGATAGGCGAGTGCGCAACCACTTTGCCATTTGGCGCTCATTTCAGACATCGCTAAATTCACGCTACTTGAGGTACCTCAAATACTTATTCGTCCGTCGTTGGTGGTATTCACGCTCTGATCTATTCAATCAGAGCACGGCGCGAAAGTCGCGCGATACTCAGAGTAAATCATCGATTTTCAACAGTGAACCTATGTTCCCGTTTGAAAAAAAGCCCTTATTTGTCTTTCGAGTAAGCATGTTACTTCATGATTTCTTCTTCTTTTCTGACCTGTGGGGGGATACCATTTTATCCTTGTTTTCATACGTCTGTTCAGTTTCATCATGATGTACCGAGTTTTATTCCATTTCTTGCGGATCCGTCATATCTCCCACCCACCCCTCCCCATGTGCCGCAATGAGTCACGATTTATCCTAGTTTATCCCGCTTTATTGAGATTATCCCAGTGTATGCAGTAAAGATTTATCTCGTTTTATTCCTAAAAATTCCCCTAAAAAATTCCTTCTTGCTCTTTTGAGAGCATAAACTATTCTTGTCAATACGGACTTTCCACAACTCAGTCCCGATTCCTCATATGTGTCCCTCATAAAATGTTACATGGGGACGGAGTTGTGAATTCCGCTTATTTTGACTCAGGGAGGAAAAATTTGAGGTAATGTTTACCACCAAAACAAGACGTGCTCCGATATTAGGACTAAGTATTACGTGTTAAAATAGTTGAAGTTTGTTGCATGTTAGCTTGTAAAGAAGCAAGGACAGAGTTGAGCTAGCTGCTTCAGGATGATTTTGAAGTTCACATATGTAACAAAAAGAAAAAAAAAAAAAGCCTCGCAACATTTTTGTTGATTTTTACAAAAATTGCTCTTATTGTTACTGAGTGAGGTTATAGAGAAGAGGATCACCAAAATAACCACAACGTTCTTTCTACAAATATCGTCCCTGGTGGCTCCTACATGTTCAAAATGAATGTCAAAAATGGAAGTTTGCTTACCGTAAGGGGTGGTAAGTGGGATTTATTTCCGTCGTCTGTTTGCGCTTCATCTTCGGGCATCAGAAGGGCATTAAGTGTCTGAAAAGAAATGAGGAAACAAGTCGCACAGTAAATCTTTATCGTTTAAAGGGACAGCTGATTCGAAGGATGTAAAAACATATTCGCGTGCGATTATGTTCCAGTCTATGTGTTCTTGCCTTAAAATTATTTTGCTCCAGTAAAAAAAAAAAAGATGAAAAGAGGAAGAACAACGTAATGACAGCCTCTCTAAAGTTAAAAAGGGAAAAGATTAAAAGAGAGGAAGCTCAAAGTCTGTCTCTTCTTAAACCTTAAAATGTTGCGTACAATGTTAAATGTACAGTTACGCCTCAAAATTACAACGAGCAAATGGACAGGAAATTCTGCTCAAAGTCCCATTCAGTTTGTCTCTAACGCAACCAGCTTACCTTTGAAGCTGGTTAAGTTGCCTGAGTCGTTAATATAAGGTAACATTATTGGACTCGCTCCCTACAAAAAGATGCTGAGCGATAAAAAAAATTCTCCGAACACCACATGGAAAAAAAGGACAGTCATTTTAATTGTCACAACTGCTAAAGTAATATATCGTTTGGCTGTTAAAAACGGCACAGAGACCCGACTAGTGAAATGACATCACATTTGTCTGTCATAATAACTGACGATTTGCTGTCAGATCGATAGAAAAAAAATTTAAAACTGACAGCAAAATCTGCTGAACCTACATCAAATATAGTCTATTATACTGGCAGCGCAGCTGCTGGCGTAAATGCCGGTTTCCTTTGGATTGACATCCACGCTGCTTTCAATTTAGCAGTGGCTACTGCAGGCTACTGTCGAAATAACAGCTCCGCTGTACTCATGAATGCAGGATCGTCCTTGCGATTAAATCCACGCTGATGTTGATATAGCAGCGCTGCTGCTGACGTAAAAGAAACATTGCCCTTAAGTTTTCATTCATACTGATGTTGATGTAAACAGTCCATCGCGGGGCACGACACGTTCCTGTGAGTAATGCACGTGAGTAAAGCTATGGTAAAGAATCGATAAGAAGGTGTTCGCTGCGAACACCCTATTTATCGATCTTTTTCCATAGGTTTAAATGGCATACAATCGATATATCGCAATTCACGCCACGCCACTGGTTTGCTAACAAGTAATAAGCTGCAGTACTTAATGAGATCCCCCGCGCATATTTGTAATGGGTACGAAAAATAAAGCTACTTACATGAATGGATAGAAGTAACAACATGAAACGAGTCATCATTAGGAACTAGAAACAAGCAAAACACGCAAAATAACTCGCGAGACGGCAAGCGCAACGATGACTGGAGGGATCCGAGATAAAAACTGTCATAAGTTTAGAGTTTTTACTAAAAAGTTGTGGGAGAGCAAAGATTGTGGGAGAGCAAGAATAAGAATATATTTGAAGGGCCGAAAAGATTGTATTGAAGAATTTTGAAGTTACAGAATTACAAAGAGTAGTCACACTAAAAAATGTGCCAAAAGGGCGAAAAAGGGCACAGCGTACTAGTACGGGTCAGATGGTAGAAGGACCATGAGAAATGGGCAGCACAAACTTTTATAGACTTGCTGACGTCACAGATGGTGAGACAACAAGTCTACACGCTATTGGCTGGCTATAATCAGTGGAGCTATCAGCTGCAAGTTCAGTAATTAAAGTAATGGGTGATTTAAGGTGATGGCTGAAAGATATGAGTAAAAAAGAGGAAAGTGTACGAAATCCAGCCATCCCTAATGAGTAAGCCGAATATGCATAAGAAATTTATAAGTTTAAGAAATGAACAAGTTGTAGGAATTTCAATACCTGTGACAAAAACCAACAACTCCCTCTACTGCGTAAAATACACGCGCAAAATTCAGCAACGATTCTGAGCAACCATCGGACTAATATAGGATTTGTCTGAATTATTCGAGTAGATTTGATACAAATTTGGATGAAAATAACTCGAATTGGCGAAATTTCAGCCGTTTAGCGATGACTGTTGACTTCAACATGCAGCTGCTCAGCGTGTGATTGCGGCATTATTCCTAGGGAGACCCCCCTCTCCCTCCGTCTCCAGACGGCTCCCTGGCCAGGGCCACCCCTCGTTGCATCATCCCCACTCCAGCGCCTCAGATGCGCGCGAATCCGTCGCCGAATGGAGGACCCCGTCTTCCCAGCGGCCGCATTTGCCGCTACCATTTGGACTGAGTTAAGCAGAAAGGAACCAACCCACAAATTAAAAATTGGAAAAAAAATTGGAAAAAATTAAGTTGTGAGTGGTTTTGAACTCGACCACTGCTCTACTATCTATCTAACTAATAAAAGGGAAATACATTGATCATACACTGATCCATCACGCTCGCCTCCCCGCTCCCACCGGTCGGAATCGGTGCGAACTTAGCCGTTCGACGGGTACTGTCCCCGAGGGGTGCAATAAGCTTTCTTTTCGCGATCCGCCCGTCCGTTCGCGAGTAACCGCGGTCGGAAGTCGCGGATATTCCCGTAAGCCCGTGTGTGTTGGAAAGAGAGACGTAGCAGTGCGGGTATATTTCCTGACGCGGCCGTTGCCGGGTGGCCGTCGGATACCTTTAGCTGCGCGCGTAATTGGCCC